CTAACAGAGAGATGGCAAATAAGTTTCATCTTGAATGTCAGCTGTAAATGACTGGTAGTAGATACATGGAGTGATGTGTAGAGAATTCTGAGGCCATGTCAGCTTAAAGGGAAAATATAGTAAGACTGATAATCAATGTGGCATTCAGGTATTCACCACTCGAACATTAATCTGAAACTACATGTAAAATGACATAGGTAAAAATAGGAGATAAAACTAGTTCACAGTAAACAAAAGTATAATTATGTTCTACAAGGCTCTTCACCCAGATTTGTTAGCGAAGACTAGGAAACAGAAAATGATAGGCTAAGCAAGACTAATGAAAAGTTATACTTAAATGAGATAAGGCAATAAAATAGATAAATAGTATTTCAGAGAATGTGAGAGGCTTTCACCTTTTTGAAAGTAGGGCTACTTTGGGAACAATTTCAAACATCTTTCTTACATATTCTACAGTAATACATACTTTTTTTTGGTGGCTAGCAGTATAGGGCTAAAGTTAAAATACCTTGTTTTTTAACTTCTAAAAAACTTACCTATGTCATTAAAATAAGTTTAATAGCCACTAATCATACTATCCTTTCACCATTACAGAATAAATTATTTTTCAGGATTAATTATGAATATTAATTATGAATCATGGCACTTACATTCTGTTTCATGCTTATAGGCTCCTAATGTCAGCTGACGAGATGTTGTTAATAATTGTTGCATCATTGCTGTTGGGTCTTGAAATATCTAATGGGATAGAGTAAAAAAAAAAAAAAAGCCCAATAACTTCAAATTTGTCCATCTTCAAATGCTTTTAAAACTCTCATTACAAAGTCTTACCACAAGTATTGAGAGTCAACTCTGTACTCCACATATAAGTATTATCAATTATTTTTCAATAAAAAACAAACAAAATCTTACCATTTCATCATAGAACTCTGAAACCACTGTCTTTTTTCCCAGCATTGCATTGGTGTCTGATTGAAATAGCTTTAATAAATGATACAAGGTTACCTGTAAAATAAAAACAGATGTCACATCTGTGTAATAGTTTTCATCATCATCATGAGACATTGTCATTTCCTTAACTGAATTAGGGACTGGAATTAGTACACATATCACCTTCAGGATCTTGTTTCAACTGCAACTTATTGTGGCAAATCACCCAAACTCTCTGTACCTTTATTTTCCTGTTAGGTACAACCATCCATCCATATGGCTTAACACGAATGTTCTGAAGAAACTAAGTAAGGATCTGTTCAAGCACCTCTAGAGAATAACTATACATAAAAATAGCACAAGATACAGCTATGAAAATTAAACTGAAAATCATTAATATAAATTCTTTTACTTATATAAGTGAAATTGTACTAATTGTGGGGGGAAAAATCAATACTTTCAAAAGGAATGACCAGTACTAAAATGTTCAGTGAAGGCAAGATAATCTCTTTGGAGATCTATAAGATTATCACATAAATAACACAGTAAACAAATTAATAAAAAGTTGGTAAGCAATAACTCACTTTGGCAACAGCAATATGTCTTTGAGTACTTAAAAACAGGTATAGTAAGACATCAAAGGAAAAGCTTTGCAACACAGTGTGATTATTTTAGCAAAGTAAAATCTAGCTGGCAAAAACATCAGTGTTCATGCTGAAGTTGCAGAAACCAATTCAGAGGCCTCAAAGATATTTCCAAAAAGTTAGCTAAAATCATTGTAAAGGAGTACTGTTCTTCAAAACACTCATAGAATAGGGAACAAGGGTACCCTGAAGAAGTCAGAAAATATAAAAATCCTTGCAAATGAATATGAATGTTTCACCAACTCCCCTCAAAGACAGTCTAGCTCAATTTATAGATATATCAGACTTTGCTGGACCAGGCTCAGCCAGCAGAAGTATCCTATTTAAAGGACACCTTTCAGTTTAAGATGGTACAATAAGAATACAGAAAAGAGAGAAGAGAAATGCACAGAATTCCCCCAAAATAACAGTAAAGAAAGATAATCTGAAAATGAGTGAGCATGAACTATATGTCACATTTAAAGCAGATTATTTGACCAATTTCCAGAATAGATGGAAAGCAGATAAGACTACATGGAGGGATACTAATTCATAACAGAGAAAAGCCACAACCTGAATACTTAAGAAAAAACTGCATCAGAGGTGGCAGCCAGAACTCCCAAGAACCTCAGAGAGGCTCCAAGCTCAGAGTTGGCAGGTGTCAAAATCAAGAATGCTATGGGATGCCTGGGCCTGTTGACCCTCACTGACAAGAAAGCATATCCCCCTGTGGTACCTACAATTTTTCTTCCCAACAGTCAAGTATGAGGGAAAAATAAAGACATTTTCAGATGGGCAATGGCTCCAAAAGCTTATTTCTCAGGCATTCTTTCTGAAGAAATTCCTCCAGCAAAATGAAAAAAAGAAACCTAAAATGAGGAACAGAAAGGATCTGTCATCATTAGGAGTTGAAAGATATTATCTAAAGTTGAGAAGTCCAAAATTAGGGTGTTAAATATATGAGATGCATGGGAGTAATTTCTAAAGAAACTGAAAGTAGTAACTGTTAAAAAGTGGTTTTCCTGGGGAAGGAATCAAAGATGGGGGGAATAAAGATGTTATAGATTGAATTGTCCCCCAAAGAGATATGCTGAAGTCCCAACTCTTAGTACCTGTGGATGTGACCTTGTTTGGAAATAGGGTCTTTGCAGATATAATTAAGTTAAGATGAAGTCATTAGGGTGGGGCCTAATCCAGTATAAGTGGTGTCCTTAGAAGAGACACAGAGACAGGGAAGGAAATAAAGTCATGTGACAATGAAGGCAGAGACTCCACTGACAGCCAAAAGTGAAGGAACACTTGGGGTTACTAGGACCCGAAAGAGGCAAGGGAAGATCTTCCCCTAGAGGCTTTGGAAAGAACACAGCCAACACCTTGATTGCAGACTTCGAGCTTCCAGAACTGTGAGAATAAATTTCTATTGTTTTAAGCCACCCAGTCTGTGGTACTAGAAAATTAACAGAGGAGACTTGCATTTTTTATTTTAAAAATCTTCTTTAAAAACCATGTGCATGTCTTTTATAATAAAAAAAATTTTTTTACAATTACATCATAAAGCTGTCCTTCCCTCAATTTACTATTCAGACTTCTAGACGAATTCATACAGTTACAGGCAATAAAAATTTCAAGACAGATATCCCTAATTTTGAGTAGTGTTTGAAAATTCTTAGAGCAATGAAATCACCTATACTTTCCTATTTCTAGGAATGAAAACCCATAGAAACAATCATTCTTTTTACAGCGGCTTGACCTATAACAGGTTACTGGATAACAGAAGTAAACCATAAGTTACCCAGGTCTATTTTTATAAATAAACTGTTATATGACTTATTTTCTGTAAGAGACAACTGTTGAAAAAGCATAATGGTTTCATTGTACTAAAAGAACACTACAACACTTTTTAGGGAAAAAATTCAGGCCTCTGTAGATTTGTGAACCTATTTAACAGATTAATCATTACAGAAGTGCAATAGATCATATTACTTTACCTTTCTAAGAGAGACTTTGAGAACTGTCTTATAATGAGGTTACAGGAAATAATGATTTCTTTCACAGATGTATTTTCCAATTGGGGCTGAGGGGTAACAGATGAAGAGGCAAAGGAGTAAGGCAGCACACCCTCACAAAAAAATGAAAAAAGAGCAATCTTACAAGGTTAAAAAGAGCTTCTGCTCTAGCAACATCACAGGCTTCTCCTCCCTCCCTCTCTCAACATCTGTTGAATTCTGTGCTCTATTCTCCCTAATAGACTTTTTCTCATTAAGGTCAGGCACAGCATCTCATCTTTGTATCTTTCGCAATGCCTTAAACATGCCTTGCAAATAATATTTAACAATTTCTTGCTATCTTAGTCTGTTTTTGTTGCTTATAACAAAATACCTGAGACTGGGTGATTTATAAAGAAAAACACCATTTATTGCTGACAGTTTCTGACCCTGGGAAGTCCAAAGTCCATCTGGTGGTGGTGACAGTGACTCCGGAGTCTCACATTACAAGATGGTGGAAGCAGAAAGAGAACAGAGCGAGCAAGAGAGACATACCCTCTACTTTTAAAGCCCTCAGAACCATGCCCTGACCACCATTTTTAATCCATTTTCTACTGCATGGTCCGACAATCTAATCACCTCTTCAAGGCTCCACCTTAAAATTACCATAACAGGATATCCCACCCTCTTTACAGTCACAGTGGAGGCTAAGTTTCTAATACACAGAACTTGGGGAACACAATTCAACCTCCAGTGAGTTTTGGGGAGACCTAATTCAATCCACTATAGTCTGCCCCGACCTCCCAAAACTGATGTCCTTTTCCTATGTAAATATGTTCATTTCATCCCCAAAGTCTTGCTTCAACTCAAACACCCAAAGTTCAAAGTCCCATCTGTGAAATCGACATAAGTTATCTCCTCCCAAGATACAATGGTGGGACAAACATATGGAATATATTCCCATTCCAAAAGGGAGAAATAGGCCAAAAGAAAGGTGTAACAGGTCCCAAACAAGTCTGAAACCCAGCAGGACAGCAGTGAATCTTAAAGCCAGTGAATCTTGTACCTTGACTCCATGTTCAATGTCCTCTGCACACTGGTGTGGGGGTTGGGTCCCCAAGTCCTCAGGCAGCTCCACTTCTATTGCTTTCCTGGTCACAGGTGATGCTTTAGCTCTGGCAGTCTGGCATTGCACCCTGGTAACTCTACACCTCTGGGTCTCCATGGCGGTCCCACTCTCATGGCTCCACTAGACATGGTGGTGATGGGGTTTCTCTGCTGCAAATCCAACCCCACATTTCCACTTGGCATTGCTTTAGTGAAGGCTGTCTATGATGACTCCGCCCCTGTGACGGATCTCTTCCTGGGCCCCCAGACTTTTCCATACATCCTCTGAAATCAGGGTGGAGGCTCCCAAGCCTCCACAGCTCTAGCATTCTGCAAGCCAGCAGACCCAGCACCACGTGGATGCCACCAAGGCTTCCAGCTTGTATTTTGCAAAGCTGCAAGTCCAGCCACACCTGGGACCAATTCACCCACAGCTGGAATAGTCAAAGCAGTAGCTTCCTGAGGTAGCTCTGGACCATGAGCCTGTGGAGGGTGCCTTGGGCCTGTTCCCCAAGACCATTTTGTCTCCTTAGGCCTTTGGGACTGAAACGGAAGGGTTGGCCCAGAGCCTTCTGCAATGCCTTCAGGGCCTTTTTCTCCTTCTCTTGATAGTCCCTTTCCTCTGTACTAATCTTCTTAGCTAATGGTTGCTGGGCTGCACCATTGTATGTGCTCTGCTTCTCTACGACATGGCCAGGCTGCAAATTTTCCAAGTCTTTGTGCTCTGCTTCCCTTTTAAATTCTGGCTTTACATCTGTCGTGCCTTTGCTGCCATAACTCAGCATAGGCTGTTACAAGTAGCCATGCAGTTACCTTAATGCTTTGATGCTTAGAAATTTCTTCTGCCAGATACTCTGGTTCACATCTCATAAGTTCCAACTTCCATGAATTCCTAGGGTGTGGACACAATGCAGCCAAATTCCTTGCCAGTTCACAGCAAGGGTGATCTTTGCTCCAGTTTCTGATAAACTCCTTCTTATTTCTATCTGAGACCTCCTTAAAGGGTCTTTACACTCCAAATTTCTATCATCATTCTGTTCGCCACCATGTAACCAGTCTCTAACACATTCCAAACTTTCCCTCATCTTTTTGTCTTCTTCTGAGTCCTCCAAACTCCTCCAACCTCTGCCTAACACCCAGTTCCAAAGCCACATCCACATTTTCAAGTACTTGCTATAAGCAACACCCCACTTCTCTTGTACCAATTTTGTTTTAGTCCATTTTGTGTTGCTATAACAGAATACTTGGAACTGGGTAATTTATAAAGAAAATGAAATTTATTGCTTACACTTTCTATGGCTGGCAAGTCCAAAGTCCATCTGGTGGTGGTGACAGTGACTCAGGAGTCTCACATTGCAAGATGGTAGAAGCAGAGAGAGAGCTGAGCGAGCAAGAGACATTCTCTCTTCTTTCAAAGTCCTCAGAACCATGCCCTGACCACCATTTTTAATCCATTTACTATTGTATGGTCCTACAGTCTAATCACCTCTTCAAGGCTCCCCCTTTCAATTACCATAATAGGATATGCCACCCTCTTTACAGTCACAGTGGGGGCCAAGTTTCTAATACATAGAACTTGGGGCACACAATTCAAGCTCCAATGAGTTTTAAGGAGACATAATTCAATCCACTACACTTGCCAAACAGAATACAGTGTCTATGAAAGTGTTCTTAAAGGACAAGAATGGTAGGAGATCTGAAAACCCTATAACATGAAAAATATTTAAATGAACTACGAATGTCTACTCAGGAGAAAAGAAAACTAATGTATGAACAGTTATCAGTGAAAAGTCCAAGAAAGTGGACAAAAGTACAGTATAAAGTTCAACTTTCTTAAAACTAGAACTACCCCAAATCTGAATAGGATGTTTCACTGAATGACAGAAGTCAGTCATCCATACTGAAGATAATGCAAGCCCAAACCAGACTGTCATTTAAGAGATTGCCTAAATGAATTCCTACGTAGAATTCCTATGTAGCAAGAGTAAGGCTTTACGTCAATGGGTCCCAAATCTTGCTGTGCACCAAAATCACCCAGGGTGCTGGCTCCACTCCAAACCTACTGAATCAGACTGTCCAAGGAAAGAGGCCTAGGAGTTTGAATTTTTTTAAAAGCACCTTAGGTATTTCTGGTGCAGCCAGTTAGGAACTGGTTCTCTTAGGTGATAATCAATTCCTTTAAAAGCACATACACAGTTTAAAAAATATAATCTGATAATTAAAGTGTAAATGTTTGGTACTAAAGTAATAAGCGCAGGATAAAAATTAATGGTGATGAACATTAAAGCCTTGAAACTGAAGTTAAACTCCAGCCACACATATATGAGAGAGCCATAACTGCACTGTGACCCCACAGATTAAAAAAAAAAAAAGCTTAGTGGTTTTAGCCAAAAGAAAAAGTTTTAGAAAGAGTGTTAGGTCTGAATGCAGACAAACCGGTTCAAAATTAGCTCTGCCACAATTAACTGAGTGTTTTTGAGCATGTGACCTGACCTCTGAGCCTTAGTATCCTCATCTCTAAAATAAGGATATCATCAACCTCACAATGTTGCTGCAGAATCAAAGTGAAAGTGAAAGCCTGGAGGAATTTTTTACATTATCAAGCAACAATCTGGTAAGAGATCAAAAGATGAAAAAGTCAGTGGTTATAATATAAAATCAAGCTGCTAGTACTGACAGCAGTTTGAAAAAGCAAAGACTGTTTCTAAAGCTTTAACTACAAAAAAAATTGAATATTACCCATTTCAGATAGCATATGGACTCAACTTATTACTGACAACCAAATGATGCTAATGAACATTAAATGTTTTTGCTGCAGTAATCATCTGATTCCCATGGTTTCTTTTCAATATGTGTTCATATTATATCCCTTCTTTCAATATTTGGGGGAAAAAAGGGTTTTGAAAAGCACTTCACTTAAAAATGGAAAACCTTAACTCATGGCAAGATGCACCATGCCATAAACCTACATAAAGTACATCTGAAAGAACAATAGCTATACATTAGGTATTATGACATTTTCACATTTACTAAAAAATCTATTTTATATTTGCAAAGATTAACACTACTCACAGGTCTTTCATTAGGGTCAATGAAAAATATTTTGATGATTATTTCAAATTCACCCCATCCTGTTTCAGTTATTTCATATGGAGGCTTAGTAACAACTGAAGAGAGAAAAAAGTTAAAACAAATATAAGTTACTGATTTAGTTTTCTAGCTCTTTTTAACTGTATACCATGAATCAATAAACTGTACTGTACCTCTTAAAGGATTGCCATAGCTTTCATGTAACTTAAACTGGATTTTCTTCACATATGCTGACATATCCTAAAATACAGAGGAATTAATTAGTTCTACCATCTACATATGAAAAGTAGGAAAGAAATACATTGAGCATATGTACCTACTTTTATGAAGTACATTTCCCCTCAAACTTGATGGAATCCAATTTTCTAAAACTCATGAATTATACCTGGGAAGTGGTTTTGCTTTTTTTTTTTTTTTTTTTTAAACAAAGCAAGTTTGTGCTGAATTCTTTCATAATTCATACTATACAGAAATATATATGTCCCTAACTCACTTGTTTTGTAAATCCTGTTTTACATACTTCTTTTTTTTTCCTTTTTGTCTTTTTTACTGACCGGTAACGGGATCGCAACTCTCGGTGTTGCGCCCGCACCGGGGACCAGCAACGGGATCGCAACCCTTGGTGTCGCGCCCGCACCACGCTCAGCCAGTGAGCGGGAACCGGTCTCCACATGGGATCCGAACCCTCGGCGGGAGCGCCGCTGCACTCCCAAGCGGCACACTCTCCAGTGCGCCACTGGGCCGGCCCTTACATACTTCTATTTACTACTCTAAATCAATTTTGATTTTTCCATAAAAACCATAGTACATTTCTGGTATTTTTACAGAAATAACCACATAGCTGATCTGAAGACAGTAAATTATCTCAATTGATTGTTTCCAGTCAGTCACAGATTAAATTCCTTGTTCTACTCTTTCCCCTTCCTCACTACTGTACTTGACTAATCTTAAAAAAAAGAAATAACTGTATAAACCAAAGCTCATCTATAGCCAACTTCAAAAAACAAAATTACATTATTACATGAAGCTAAAAACAACTAATCTAAAGCAGCCTAAAACTGCTGAATATAAAACGCCTCCTTTTCATAATTTTATTTTAAAGCACAAAAGCACATTCATTAATTCTAGTACACAAAAGGGCTTCTGCTAGCGAAGGTGGCTTTTTAAAAATAAAATTAGTTACAGAAAAATAAAAAATGCAAAATAATAAGTCAGACTCTTAGTAATGTTTATTAACCTTTTTATTTGCTTTCAGGAATTTTCAATGTGCTTATATATATACCTTTATTTTTAAAAAAATAAAATTGGGATCATACTACAGTGATATCTTAATATCCTGCTTTTGTCACTTGTTATATAGTGAGGATTTTTTCTGAGGCAGATTTTCATAAGCACCTTTGAAGACTCTTTTGGGAATACTTCATTTCTTCTACAAATATTTGATTGACTACCAATATTGCTGTACCAGATGTTAAGTATACAATGGTAAATAAAATAGGTTCTTGCTCTCAGACACTCACTGTGGTGCTCTCAGACACTCACTGTGGAGTAGGGAACAGACAATAAAAATAGCACTCAAGGGCCGGCCTGGTGGTGCACTGGAGAGTGCGCTGCTTGGGAGCGCGGCGGTGCTCCTGCCGAGGGTTCGGATCCCATGTGGAGACCGGTTCCCGCTCACTGGCTGAGCGCGGTGCGGGCGCAACACCGAGGGTTGCGATCCCGTTAGCAGTCAGTAAAAAAGACAAAAAGGGAAAAAAAAAATAGCACTCAATATGGGCCGACCCCGTGGTGCACTCGGGAGAGTGCAGCCACGCTCCCGCCGCGGTTCAGATCCTATATAGGAATGGCCAGTGTGCTCACTGGCTGAGCGCGGTGTGGGCGATACCACACCAAGGGTTGCGATCCCTTTACCGGTCACGAAAAAAAAGGCAAAAAAAAAAATAGCACTCAATATAACGTGTTTTGAGGGCATTAGGTCCAAGTCTCTAAGGGGGGCACCTAATTTAGCCTTCCAAGGTCAAGAAAGTAGTTCCAAAGAAAAAGATACTTGGGAGCTAACCGGTTAGCTCACTTGGGAGAGTGTAGTGCTGGTAACACCAAGGTTACAGTTCAGATCCCCAGAAAGACACTTGAACTGAGACATAAAGGATCAACAGGAATAAAGTGGGTGGGAAGGAATGAGTGAAGAAGTTTAAGAGTGTTCCTTTGAGAAATTTAGAGTAATTTAGTATTGGCAGAATGTAGGATAAGAGGAAATAATGAGTCACAGACAAGGCTGCAGATATAATCCAGGGAAAGATCATGGCAGACTTTCTAAAACATGGTAAAGAAGTTTAACTTTACCATGAGGGCAATAGGTAGTCATAAAAGAGTTTTTTTATAACAACTTTATTGAGATATAATTCACATACCATAAAGTGTACCATTCAGGTTTTTAGTATATTCACAGAGTTGTACAATTTTAGAACATTTTTTTGACACAAAAAGAAACCCCATACCCATTTTCACTCACTCCTGATTCCCTCTTCCCCTAACCCACTGGCAACCACTAATGTATTTTCTTTGTCTATGGGGTTTGCCTGTTCTGAGCATTTGTGTGTCTGACCTTTTGTGTCTGGCTTCTTTCACTTAGCATAATGCTTCTAAGTTTCATCCATGTGGTGGCATGGATCAGTACTTTATTTCTTTTAATTGCCTAACAATATTCCATTGTATGGATATACCACATTTTATTTATCCACTCATCAGTTGATAGACACTTGGGATGTTTCCATATTTGTCTATTATAATTCCGCTATGAACACTCATATACCAAGTTTCTGTGTGGATTTTGAAGGGTTTTCTTTTTTTTCTTTTTTTTTGGCACTGGCTGGTATGGGGATCTGAATCCTTGATCTTGGTGTTACAAGGCACCACTTTAACCAACTGAGCTAACCAGCCAGCCCTTTGAAGTGTTTTAAACAGAGGAACAATTTAGCACATTCAACAAATATCTGTTGAATATCTGCTATGTACTGGCTGTGTTCCAGGAACTGGAGATTCAGCAGCAAAACAAAATTAACAGCAACTAGATTACATAGCAGATCGGCCTTTCACATTCTCTGATGGTCTTATTACCACATTATCACTTTAAGTATTAGCTGCTATTCCTGAAACACCCGATTAAACACTATGTTAAGATGTGATGTTTGGAAGGTGTACTTGTACTCTGTTTACAACATGACCGTTCTTGTTACCTTAATTTTTTTTTTTTTTTTTAAGATGACCGGTAAGGGGATCTTAACCCATGACTTGGTGGTGTCAGCACCACGCTCTCCCAAGTAATCCACGGCCTGGCCCTCTTACCTAAATTTTAATTAGGAAACATTTTTGGAAAATTCATTTCTACTACTAGTTATATGAAGATGACAGTTCTCACTTTATTCTTTCAAACTTTCTACAATGGACCAATAACATAATCAGAAAGTTACTATAAAACAATATTACAATTTATCTTCAAGCAAAACAAAGAGCTTTGAAAAAAGTTACGGGAAAAGCAAGTACCCACCTCATTTCTATATGGTTTTACATATACTGTCCACTGATGGGTGTGCCCATCTTCTTCTCTTTTCTTTCCAAAATATCGAGCAACATTACCAAAAACTATTGGTTTAACGATAGTAACCCCCTAAAAGAAAAATAATTTAAAAACCAATAAATATTGTACCATTACCTAAGTAAGCAGAATGAGACCTCTGAAAGCTTGTTTTAAGGAATGGCAGACTGACAATCTAGTGTTTGGTTATAAGATGGATTTCTCTCAAATCAATTTCAGACATTTATATTCATTTCACATTAACACATATAACACCAGATTAATTATAATGTTCCCACTCTGAAAATGTTTTTATTTAAATCACCATCTAAATTGGAAAAAGATGCCTAAAAGAGCACGTAACAATCAGCAAGGAGGAGAAATCGATCCCTAACTTTGAAGCTTTACATAACTATTTTTTGTGGAAAAGCATTTGAGGACTGCAGGTTTGACTTCAATCACTCTGGCCTGACACAAACTTTTAGAACCTAACATGATTACAAATAGACAAAGTTCTCTGTAACTTCTTCCCCCAAATCTAATGTTTTAACCCTTTGTTCTGTAGTAGTTTCCTATCAGTCCAAAACCTTGCCCCAAAGCTTGGGCAAAATGCATATGTTTATGAAGCTCATGGTACTATGAACTTTTATCTGGTATCTCTCTCCCCTTCCATTAAAGGTCACTAACTTACAATGTTTGAAGAATTCCCACTTAATGTGATTTTAAGACATCCTTGCTAGCCGGTTAGCTCGGTTGGTTAGAGCGTGGTGTTATAACACCAAGGTCAAGGGTTCAGATCCCCACACCCGCCAGCCGCCAAAAAAAAATCGTGTGTTTAGTTGTATACGCATTATAACTAAAATTATGGAAAAATAACAGGACGCAGATAAGACTCCAAAAAATCTCATTAACTGGATTAGTGCTAAAGTGGGCGATTTCTTTTTAGAGAAAAATTTCCTTCCTGCGATAAAAATCAGAAGGAGTAAAAATAGGTATTATATTAGGAACCAGTCGCTTCTGCCTTAAAAATTAACGTGCCAGGGGATGTAGAAAAGGGGGGAGGGAAATAAGTGTCACAATGTCAAACATTGTTTTAGGGTCTCTAATAATTTTCCTTAAAAATTTACTGAATATCCCTAAGTGCCGTGCACAGGGTTACATTCTTTGCATGCCTGATTAGTGGCTTGGCTGTAGCTTTGGGGCTTTGTGAACACCACGAACTCGGCAAATTTTCCGACCTTTCCAACATCTCGGTTCCTGTTATGGCACTTGTACTCGGGTAAGCGCTCATCCACTATTTGTTATTGTTACTATCCTCACACCCAGTTGGTTGGCATCTCCGCTTTACCGGTGACCTAGGCTGGCAGCTAATGTGCACCAAGCCAGGACTTCCAGCCCTGAGTATAACGGGCTGCCTCGGCAGCCAAGCCCAGGTCTCGCCAAGCTACCACTGGTTATCTGTCTGGGGGCGGGGATGGGAGGGTGGCCGCGGTGGAGCTGGGGCCCAATGAGCACTGATCCACCGCTCCAAGGCTCGGCCTCGCTCTCCGCGGTGGAACCTTGGTTCAAACCCGCGGAGAGAAGGCGCGAGCTTGGTTCAAACCCGCGGAGAGAAGGCGCGAGCGGGAAGCAAGCGGGCCCTTCNCTCCCAAGCGGCACACTCTCCAGTGCGCCACTGGGCTGGCCCTTACATACTTCTATTTACTACTCTAAATCAATTTTGATTTTTCCATAAAAACCATAGTACATTTCTGGTATTTTTACAGAAATAACCACATAGCTGATCTGAAGACAGTAAATTATCTCAATTGATTGTTTCCAGTCAGTCACAGATTAAATTCCTTGTTCTACTCTTTCCCCTTCCTCACTACTGTACTTGACTAATCTTAAAAAAAAGAAATAACTGTATAAACCAAAGCTCATCTATAGCCAACTTCAAAAAACAAAATTACATTATTACATGAAGCTAAAAACAACTAATCTAAAGCAGCCTAAAACTGCTGAATATAAAACGCCTCCTTTTCATAATTTTATTTTAAAGCACAAAAGCACATTCATTAATTCTAGTACACAAAAGGGCTTCTGCTAGCGAAGGTGGCTTTTTAAAAATAAAATTAGTTACAGAAAAATAAAAAATGCAAAATAATAAGTCAGACTCTTAGTAATGTTTATTAACCTTTTTATTTGCTTTCAGGAATTTTCAATGTGCTTATATATATACCTTTATTTTTAAAAAAATAAAATTGGGATCATACTACAGTGATATCTTAATATCCTGCTTTTGTCACTTGTTATATAGTGAGGATTTTTTCTGAGGCAGATTTTCATAAGCACCTTTGAAGACTCTTTTGGGAATACTTCATTTCTTCTACAAATATTTGATTGACTACCAATATTGCTGTACCAGATGTTAAGTATACAATGGTAAATAAAATAGGTTCTTGCTCTCAGACACTCACTGTGGTGCTCTCAGACACTCACTGTGGAGTAGGGAACAGACAATAAAAATAGCACTCAAGGGCCGGCCTGGTGGTGCACTGGAGAGTGCGCTGCTTGGGAGCGCGGCGGTGCTCCTGCCGAGGGTTCGGATCCCATGTGGAGACCGGTTCCCGCTCACTGGCTGAGCGCGGTGCGGGCGCAACACCGAGGGTTGCGATCCCGTTAGCAGTCAGTAAAAAAGACAAAAAGGGAAAAAAAAAATAGCACTCAATATGGGCCGACCCCGTGGTGCACTCGGGAGAGTGCAGCCACGCTCCCGCCGCGGTTCAGATCCTATATAGGAATGGCCAGTGTGCTCACTGGCTGAGCGCGGTGTGGGCGATACCACACCAAGGGTTGCGATCCCTTTACCGGTCACGAAAAAAAAGGCAAAAAAAAAAATAGCACTCAATATAACGTGTTTTGAGGGCATTAGGTCCAAGTCTCTAAGGGGGGCACCTAATTTAGCCTTCCAAGGTCAAGAAAGTAGTTCCAAAGAAAAAGATACTTGGGAGCTAACCGGTTAGCTCACTTGGGAGAGTGTAGTGCTGGTAACACCAAGGTTACAGTTCAGATCCCCAGAAAGACACTTGAACTGAGACATAAAGGATCAACAGGAATAAAGTGGGTGGGAAGGAATGAGTGAAGAAGTTTAAGAGTGTTCCTTTGAGAAATTTAGAGTAATTTAGTATTGGCAGAATGTAGGATAAGAGGAAATAATGAGTCACAGACAAGGCTGCAGATATAATCCAGGGAAAGATCATGGCAGACTTTCTAAAACATGGTAAAGAAGTTTAACTTTACCATGAGGGCAATAGGTAGTCATAAAAGAGTTTTTTTATAACAACTTTATTGAGATATAATTCACATACCATAAAGTGTACCATTCAGGTTTTTAGTATATTCACAGAGTTGTACAATTTTAGAACATTTTTTTGACACAAAAAGAAACCCCATACCCATTTTCACTCACTCCTGATTCCCTCTTCCCCTAACCCACTGGCAACCACTAATGTATTTTCTTTGTCTATGGGGTTTGCCTGTTCTGAGCATTTGTGTGTCTGACCTTTTGTGTCTGGCTTCTTTCACTTAGCATAATGCTTCTAAGTTTCATCCATGTGGTGGCATGGATCAGTACTTTATTTCTTTTAATTGCCTAACAATATTCCATTGTATGGATATACCACATTTTATTTATCCACTCATCAGTTGATAGACACTTGGGATGTTTCCATATTTGTCTATTATAATTCCGCTATGAACACTCATATACAAGTTTCTGTGTGGATTTTGAAGGGTTTTCTTTTTTTTTCTTTTTTTTTGGCACTGGCTGGTATGGGGATCTGAATCCTTGATCTTGGTGTTACAAGGCACCACTTTAACCAACTGAGCTAACCAGCCAGCCCTTTGAAGTGTTTTAAACAGAGGAACAATTTAGCACATTCAACAAATATCTGTTGAATATCTGCTATGTACTGGCTGTGTTCCAGGAACTGGAGATTCAGCAGCAAAACAAAATTAACAGCAACTAGATTACATAGCAGATCGGCCTTTCACATTCTCTGATGGTCTTATTACCACATTATCACTTTAAGTATTAGCTGTTATTCCTGAAACACCCGATTAAACACTATGTTAAGATGTGATGTTTGGAAGGTGTTCTTTTTCCCTTTTTTCAACATGGCCGTTTTTTTTTCCTTAATTTTTTTTTTTTTTTTTTAAGATGACCGGTAAGGGGATCTTAACCCATGACTTGGTGGTGTCAGCACCACGCTCTCCCAAGTAATCCACGGCCTGGCCCTCTTACCTAAATTTTAATTAGGAAACATTTTTGGAAAATTCATTTCTACTACTAGTTATATGAAGATGACAGTTCTCACTTTATTCTTTCAAACTTTCTACAATGGACCAATAACATAATCAGAAAGTTACTATAAAACAATATTACAATTTATCTTCAAGCAAAACAAAGAGCTTTGAAAAAAGTTACGGGAAAAGCAAGTACCCACCTCATTTCTATATGGTTTTACATATACTGTCCACTGATGGGTGTGCCCATCTTCTTCTCTTTTCTTTCCAAAATATCGAGCAACATTACCAAAAACTATTGGTTTAACGATAGTAACCCCCTAAAAGAAAAATAATTTAAAAACCAATAAATATTGTACCATTACCTAAGTAAGCAGAATGAGACCTCTGAAAGCTTGTTTTAAGGAATGGCAGACTGACAATCTAGTGTTTGGTTATAAGATGGATTTCTCTCAAATCAATTTCAGACATTTATATTCATTTCACATTAACACATATAACACCAGATTAATTATAATGTTCCCACTCTGAAAATGTTTTTATTTAAATCACCATTTAAAGTACTTCTGAGAGTTTTGTTAAAAGAAATGCAAAAGGCCCTTTCCTTACAAACCTGAGAGGTAGGCATTGGAATAAAAACTGCCCATTTTGACTGATGGTAATGTCCTATTAATCAGCTTATGGCAGTGTTTCCCAAGGTGTAGTACAAATATCAAAGGCAGTTTGTGAGAGGATTTTAGGGAGAGGAAGGGCAAACATTTTTCATTTTATTACTTCTGTGTTTACTTTAATTAATATAAAAACTATAACTAGAAATTGAAACCCACGATTTCAAAAGTATTAATGGTTAAGAAGAAGCTTTTAAAAATTGAATTGATTTAAATATAAATGTTATATAAATATATTTATATATTAAATGTTATATATTTTTGCCGATATGGCAAAAATGGTAGTGGCACTTGGATGACTGAAGCTTGGTACACTGGCAAGTGGCCATGTTTGCTATACATTTGTGCTCAGTTCTGAGATGTACATACATGTTTCTCATCACATTCAATAAAGTGTAAAGGCAGTGAGTGTTGACAGATAATGATGAAAAGGAAAGGAGAGATTAAAAATTCCAAATGAAGAGAAAATACTGAATGTTGCACATGAATCTGAAACCAATTGTTCAACATACCTCATGTAAAAAGTGCTGTGCTAAATGTAATCAACAATTAATAAGAAATGAGAAAAAGTAGTGAAGAAAATGGAAAAACTTTTAATTGTGGCTGGATAAATAACAAGTAATTCCAATACCTGTAAACCTAAAGTCTGCTCAGAAGCAAGCAAGCAATTAAATAATCATAGTAAGTGCTACTGAGGAAGCTTATGTTGCACAGACTGGGCCTCAGGTTCAAGGCCTGACTGAATGAGTTCAAGGGCGCTGAGATGGTGTGTACATAATAGATCCCATAGCTGCTAGAGTGTTGCTAGAACTTGCAGTTTGTCTAAAATGAAAAGCGGGCTCATTTGTCAACAGACTTTCTACCTGGATAAAATTTATCTAAATTGGAAAAAGATGCCTAAAAGAGCACGTAACAATCAGCAAGGAGGAGAAATCGATCCCTAACTTTGAAGCTTTACATAACTATTTTTTGTGGAAAAGCATTTGAGGACTGCAGGTTTGACTTCAATCACTCTGGCCTGACACAAACTTTTAGAACCTAACATGATTACAAATAGACAAAGTTCTCTGTAACTTCTTCCCCCAAATCTAATGTTTTAACCCTTTGTTCTGTAGTAGTTTCCTATCAGTCCAAAACCTTGCCCCAAAGCTTGGGCAAAATGCATATGTTTATGAAGCTCATGGTACTATGAACTTTTATCTGGTATCTCTCTCCCCTTCCATTAAAGGTCACTAACTTACAATGTTTGAAGAATTCCCACTTAATGTGATTTTAAGACATCCTTGCTAGCCGGTTAGCTCGGTTGGTTAGAGCGTGGTGTTATAACACCAAGGTCAAGGGTTCAGATCCCCACACCCGCCAGCCGCCAAAAAAAAATCGTGTGTTTAGTTGTATACGCATTATAACTAAAATTATGGAAAAATAACAGGACGCAGATAAGACTCCAAAAAATCTCATTAACTGGATTAGTGCTAAAGTGGGCGATTTCTTTTTAGAGAAAAATTTCCTTCCTGCGATAAAAATCAGAAGGAGTAAAAATAGGTATTATATTAGGAACCAGTCGCTTCTGCCTTAAAAATTAACGTGCCAGGGGATGTAGAAAAGGGGGGAGGGAAATAAGTGTCACAATGTCAAACATTGTTTTAGGGTCTCTAATAATTTTCCTTAAAAATTTACTGAATATCCCTAAGTGCCGTGCACAGGGTTACATTCTTTGCATGCCTGATTAGTGGCTTGGCTGTAGCTTTGGGGCTTTGTGAACACCACGAACTCGGCAAATTTTCCGACCTTTCCAACATCTCGGTTCCTGTTATGGCACTTGTACTCGGGTAAGCGCTCATCCACTATTTGTTATTGTTACTATCCTCACACCCAGTTGGTTGGCATCTCCGCTTTACCGGTGACCTAGGCTGGCAGCTAATGTGCACCAAGCCAGGACTTCCAGCCCTGAGTATAACGGGCTGCCTCGGCAGCCAAGCCCAGGTCTCGCCAAGCTACCACTGGTTATCTGTCTGGGGGCGGGGATGGGAGGGTGGCCGCGGTGGAGCTGGGGCCCAATGAGCACTGATCCACCGCTCCAAGGCTCGGCCTCGCTCTCCGCGGTGGAACCTTGGTTCAAACCCGCGGAGAGAAGGCGCGAGCTTGGTTCAAACCCGCGGAGAGAAGGCGCGAGCTTGGTTCAAACCCGCGGAGAGAAGGCGCGAGCGGGAAGCAAGCGGGCCCT